AGTAGTATGCTGGAAAAGTTTATTTTCCTTTTTTTCTTGCATCCACAGTTATTGCTGGACTCATTGCAATAGAGACAGAGCTGTGCAGTTACTAGTATCCAGCTGTGTGCCTGTCTGTGGTGAACATTTCCTGATTGAAGATGTGAAGTTTTCTCTTACATGCCAAACCAAATGTTAATCACACATTAGGAACAGTGTTAAACAGAACAGAGTCTCGGTCTCAGGCTCTTTTTGATGTCTGACTGATACATTTGGAGACACTCTGTAAAGACACCATCAGTAAGGCAGTAATCACAAAGGCCGACAATATACAAACAGCACATGGTGTTTACACAAAACTGGAGAGCCAAAGGAGAAGCATGTAGCTGATGTAATTATGGGGCTTTTAGTGAAAGGCTTATAAGACTTATTACGAGCTTCGATGGACTACTTGAGGGATTCTCAGGCTAAATCCAAGTTGGCTTTCAGAAACGAAGAAGTCAAACGTGGGCTTACTGTGAATTAACCGCTTTGGATAAGGGACACTGGCATGGGTTACTATTGTGTTTTTCCAGGACTGTTTTTATTACTTAAAATTTTATAGGTACATGTGTTCAGTCACATCTGTCTGAATATGCCAGAGACCTGCAGGCTTTCTTTTAATGTACTTAGTACATTAGCACTGACTGAATATTATTGTGATGTAGACTTTATGCCATGTTTGCAAAATGTGCTTCCTCATGAACTGCAGCTGGTTGTTTGGCTTCCTTTAAAGGTGAAGTTTTGCCATTCATTGCTGCTTCAGAAAGCTCTCCAGTTATCAGGTTGAATTCCCACTATTGGTTTGGGTTTTATATATTAGAACTAGTAAGGTAGCAGCATGACACAGTGCTGCAGGGTAGCAGATCATGCTGTCATCATTTAAAGCAATAGCGTACCTAATAATGATTTGGAGAGACTTTTTTTGTGAAAAAGAAAAAAACAAACAAATTATGATTAGCTTAGTTTGAGATGAAGACTGGGAAAGGTAGGAGCTGTTGTAAGTTGTAAAAAAAATCTGTTAGCTACTAACACTTGTAAATGTTCAATAGACATCTCTGTTTAATTTATAGACAAATATACATGGTTTGAAGCTGTTGACATTTTGGGATAAATAATAGCAGTGTAGACAGATATGACACGCGCACTGAACAGATGAATAGTGACATATAAATATATAGTTAGTGACGTGTACAGGTGATGAGAAGGGATTTTTTTGTTTAGGTGTAACCAGGCTTGCTTTAGCCTTTACCTCCAGTCTTTATGCTAAGCTAGGCTAAGTACCTGCATATTCTGCCTGTCTTTGGTTTTGTTGGAGTAAACGCATTCCCTCAGAAGTCACAGTTTTGTTTAGCTTTAAATGTCAGTGTTTGATATTTTTACATCTGACTTAATGCAAGCCAGACATATAAGGCTAAATATTCATGAACAGTGTGTTTTTTGTGATTCTTTTGCTGCATGAAAGCAGTGTGCTCAAGTAGCGGGAGAAATATATCTAAATTAAAGTGCCAGTGTGATCAGTGCTTCCACATATTTTTGGGCCTTCAACCAAAATATATATAACAAAATATAGAAAAAGTTATTCCTAGAGGTAATCTGAACTATATAAATCATCTGTCCATTTGCAGATAGCGCTGTTATGGGGAACTCGGAGAATAATGTCTGTGCTGTTAAGTGCATGTCTCTCAGTGCAGACAAAAGCTGGGAAGAAAGGCAATCACATTAGAAAGTTTAAACATTATAAAGTCTAAAAACTCTCAAGAGATTTGAAACTTTATAAATAGAGATCTTCACTGGCATCGACGGACCAGTGAGGCAATGTTTGCATTAGCCCATCCAAACATTCCTGCTTCACCATTCAGACATCTCTGAGTTGTTCAGCTCAGTCAGTCCTTGCGTGATGCTCCATAGAATCCATAATTCAGACCACCTTTTATGATGCTCAGACCTCTTCTGATCCCATGAGGCTGTGAGAGAGTGATGAACAGGTTGTCACTTGTGACCCTGAGAAGAATTAAGTTAGTGAACAAGTGACAAGTGAGTCTAACAGTTAGTTCACACAGAAAAGAAAGTCATCCTCATTCACAATCTTGGCAAATAAGCTTTGGTCATTGTCAGCGTACATCAGCTGATAGCCCAACTCATACCCTGATGTGCATCCAATAGGTGAATCCTAATAAAGGGCACTTCTTTAGACAGGCCACAGTTTCTGAGAATCTCCAGTCTGCTTTGCAACCCACCTTCTCCCCTGCACTCCCTTTCATGCTGTATCTGACCGAATGACTCATTGATCTGACCAAATATCCATCATTTATTTCTTTGTATAGCACATGGTTTGCAAAACACTACAATGTACTGTAGTTGCAAACAAATACAAGGCCTTTTGCTTGATTGCTAACGTGTAGTATACAATATAATCATTGTGCATTGGTGCTGACAGAAAATAGTCCCCAACAAAAATGTGTTTTATGCTGTTTGAATTACATTTCCTAATAACTACACTTGCATGTGTTATTAAGAGAACATAATGTTCAATTTAGCTTTTTTTCCCCCAATGCTGAATTTTAGCTTGTTCTTCCAGATTTTAGAGAAAGTCCTTGTTTAACTCTGGTCTCTATAGAGCACCGTCGATTATATGTATATATTAAGCAATCTATTAGAATAGCATAGAATAGAATAGAATTCAACTTTATTGTCATTGCACACGTCACAAGTACATGGCAATGAAATGCAGTTTGCATCCATCCTGAAAGTACTTTAGCAATATATAGATATATTACAGAATATAGATCTATTAGAGATATGATACAATGTACACGGCATGAAGGTATGTTATGAATAAGTATGTACAAGCTATAACTGAAGTGAATGTACAAGCTATATACAGGCTATGAACAGGTTATACGTATGGTTATAAATATGAAAAGCTATAGCAGATTATAGATATACAATTGCAAGTATTAATAAACAGTTGTAAAACTATAATTATTGTATTGTACAGTATGATTGTCTATACAGCATTTACAGTAGTGCAATCAAGTAATGAGACAGTAAGATATATGGATAAATTATACAGTAGTTACATAAAGTGCCAGTGGTTGTAAGTGGTGGTTCAGTCCATCATCAAAATGGGGGTGTCAGTTTTTTGGTGCCAATAAATCTCTGTTCAGTTTCCCACAAGGGTAAAGTCTAAAAGAGTGCCATCCTTTTCCTGGGAAACTCAACAGATTTGGGTGTTTCAGGGAAAGGGACGCTTTTGGCTCGTTTTGTTTGTAAGTCTAAGTGACTGTATATGGTACCGGTCATAGTACAAACTAAACTGTGACATGCTTATGTCCCATTGTGATGCACTGCTTACTGTTGGTGGGCTCCTCTGCAGATCTGAAAATCTTGAAACAAAAATACAGCGATGAGAGTGAAGTGGCCCTCTTTAGTATAACCTTATATGACCAAGAATGAAAGTAAAGCTAGCCGGGTTAAGCTTTCTTTGAACTGCCTTATAATGTATTGTATGATTGTTTCTAAGGCTAGAAAATAGAGTTGTTTGACCTTAAGTGAAAAAGTGTGATGTAATCTCTCAGTGCTGGCTCTTGTTCTGTTTCTATTGTGAAAAACAGGAATGCCTATTTGTCATGGGTTAGAGCTTCCTAAAGATAGTTGCAGTCTTTTTGGCTCAAGACTAAACTGATTTTATTTTCTATTTTCAGTACAGGGTGCATGACTTTCAGCTGCAGTCTCACAAAAAAATTGGTATGATGTTTCTAAATCAGCACGGCCCAGCGACCGACTAAGTGTTGCTGCTTGGACTACTAGCAGTAGGAGGGCACCTAGGAGCAATCTATGTCTTTAGTGGGAGGACAGGGCGGTTTATACAGTTGTTTTTGTTAATGCTGAAAGCCTATACAATGTGTACATTATCAAGTAATGAATTTAAATTATGCTGAATGAGTTTGTTAAAATTACATGAGGAGGAAAAAAAGGTGAATTTTGATTTATTGGCAGCTGTTTGGAGTTAGTGTTCCAGATGTTAATATAAGGTGGCAAGCTGTTAAAGTGCTATAAATGAAGGATTTTGTGTCAGCCTAAGAAGCCATTTTATCTAAGTCTGTGCATTTAAATGAACCCTCAGTTCTTTTCTCTAAGCCAGAAAGACTAGCAATTAGTTACTGGGCACAGGCTGTATGACGTTAGTGAGCTTTGGGAAACCTTGCAGGCCAGATTACAGCTTTATTATTACTAAAATGGGGACTTTGGTTTTCAGTTGCTCTAGCTGAACAGTTGATTATAGATTATAAGCTTTGGCAACCTTTTACCAGAACTATGATTTTATCTGTGATGCTGGAAACTCTAATTACCTTTTAAATGCACAGGAATGCCCAGCCTCTGTAGTTCAAAGAAACCTGTTTGTAGATTGCATTTCCCACTGGATCTCTTTATCTGTTTTCAATGAAACTACAATAACAGCATAGGGAAACACGAGGAGTCAAACATGTTTGAGTAATTTAATGAGAGAGAAAAAAATTGCACTCTTCTTCCTCTATTTAATAACAAATGTCTGGGGTCCAGTACAGAGCCAGTAATTACAAATATTATTCATTATAGTAATTATTAGTTGGAAAAAAGTAATTAAAAGGCTAATGGGCATTTTTTTTTCTTTGGCAACTGAAAACCAATGTCATGCCAGGCTAATTGCTGAAATATAAACCACTGCGCACTGCAAAGCTGTCCTGTGACCAGTAAGGGTTGTGCAGTGAGTAGCGTTTTAGAAGCACGGAATAATTGTGTAGAAACCTTTATAAATTAAAACCGACACATCTGACATAAGCTAGATAAAGCAGACAAGGTACAGTAAGCAGAATAAGACAAAGTTTAAGTCCAAATTCAGAGATCAGGGAGGGAAAAGTGAGAGTCAGAGGGAGCGAGCAGGAGTCTGCCTGAGGAGGAGGGAGGCTGAGAAAGAAAAAGAGGAGAGCAGAGAGGCAGGCTTTGCCTTTTCTGGTAGTTGTAGTCACTGCAAAGACAAACAGAAATTCTTTTTGCGCTGCAGAAGGACTGAGATATAAACCAGACTGTGGGAGCTGATATATGACAGGAGAGGAGTCTCTGTTGTCCGTGGACTAAACTTTCGCTATTGCTAAGGTATTGTAAACCAGCAGACACAGAAGTTTTTATTGATTTTTTCATATGTTAAAAAAAGTTGCCTTGGGTGGGCCCTTTGTTATATTGCAATGTGTGTCTGTTAATCTGGACCCTACAAGCTGTTGTTAATTGAGTTTAAATTACCACAGTGATGAAATGTGGTAAATTTTTTTTGCATGTGCATTAAAAAATAAATGTCCATTTCATTTAACTTAGGATACTCATGCTGACATTTTATTTGTGTCTTTTAGTGAAAAAGCGAGGAGAACCTTTTGGCCACCATGGATGACGACTTTGACCGCCGCATGGAGCTGAGGAGGCAAAGGAGAGAGCAGATGCGCCTTGAAGCCGAAAAGTGAGTAATCCTGTAAAACCTGTGCAAAACAACACATGCACACACACACACACACACAAAAGACACAGTCCTGAGCATGCAGACTTAAAATTACAAGTGAAACTCACAAAAAAAGGGTGAATGCACTGTGAATATCAGAACATCCTACACACATCATCTTAAATTAAAGTCTCATTAGCATTGTTAGCATGCAAAGCATTTGTGTCGGCTCACAAAACAAACCGGATATATTTTATATTTGATTAGCAGGGCCTAGTCCCCCCCCACGCCCACCCCGAAACACACACACACACACACACACACACACTTTTTTTCAGTTTTTAAACAGCAGCTGTTTCCCAGTCCCATCTGTGTTGACACTTTTAAACCCTTGGGTGCAGTGAACCATTCTGAAAACATTAAACAAAATGTTCCTCTTCTGATCGTTCTTCTGTGCCCTCCGATGATTGGTTCATCTCATGGACACATGCTCAGTGAGCAGGCCTTTCTATATATGCATACTATATGTTGTTTGATGTATGGAAGGATGCATGATGGAGCTCTTTGTCTCCACACAAAGCAGAAGGAAGAGCCGATAATGGCCCAATGATCTCCCCACTATCCTGAGCTCATTAAGGGGACCGTCATCTGTGCTGCTGTTTGGGTTTACCTTTCATTCTCTGTTGTTTCATTCAGTCTCTTTCATGTGCTCAGCAAATTAAACAATAATGTTTAAAAGATGGTGCTGATATCCACCCCACTGGTGTAAAGTAGAAGGTTTGTACTTGCTGTGACCTCAGGTTGAGTAGAAACAAAGTGAGAGATGCTGACACTTAAAGATGTCAGAAGTGTTTAATCACAGAGCTAATTAAACGGATGATCAAACACTGCGGTCACTGCATTTTACTCTCTGAATGGATTTGAACAGATTATGATCACTTTAATCCTTTATGTGATCATATAATCAAGATGTCCAAACGTAGCCCAGCATGTTGTATTTTTTCCAGTCGGGTGCTGTCATATCAGATGTGCCATCAGTGCCCAAGCAACGAAGAACATTCCTTGCAATTTTCTCACAGCCAGCCATGCCAAACCAGTCTGCCCTTCCTTTTATGCCTTCCAGTTCCTCTCCAAATGCTGCCGACACTGGAATGTTTTGACTGTAATTTTTATTCCAGTGCATATTAGCCTGCTCCGAGGGCTTCAGAGTTACACTGCTTGAGCTGAGCTTTTTAGCCTCTTACCTTCATTTCACTCAGCACCTCAGTTAGCCAAGTAGCTCCTATCATATTTCCCCTCATTTATTATGTTTCGTGTCCCCCGGGCTGGTTGTCTGGAAATGTAACTGTGACTTCAAGCTTTGGGTGGGGTTCTCTCTAATTGGATTGCTTCCTCACTGATTTCTCTAGGTGATCCGTGCCATTTGGAGAAACCTTTGCCTGTGGAGTTATTGGATTTCCGCCTCATTTGGGTCTTTGTTGCCGTTTTAAAGACAGAAAGGATTCTTGTGGTTGCCTTCCACCTCTCGCAACATCTGTAAAAGATTGCCTCGCAGATTCAGGAAGAGCAGAGGGAAATAATACCCGTGTGCTATCAATGGACCATTTCAAGCTCCCTCTCTGTCTCATAAAGCCTGGTAATACTTAAAAAGATACTCCCAGGCATGCTGAAAAATTAACTGTGGAAGCATTCAAAGCTGGATGAAAGTCACTGACAGGGGATATGGGGTTGATGGAGAGGAAAAGCATTGTTCTGCATCCCTATTCTGTTGCTTTTTCTCCCTTTTTCATATATTACATGTTGTAATATTAAGTCCAGTCTTAAGAGCCAGTCTTTTGAAGTACACACATCTTCTTGGATGTGACATTTGCATGTGTAGCATGTGTGTTTATAATTATTTCTTATAGACTATTTTCCTCTCAGTTGTGGTATCTCAAATCTTCATCATGTCTTTTGAAATCAGCTTTAGATGGTATGGCTTTAGCTTCTATTGTGGTCAACATAAAAATGTCACATATCACATATTTCTTTTGGAGGAAATTGTGTTTTTGATTTATGTGAAGTTTTTTTTAAATTTTTATCAGGAAAAACACTTGTTTTGTCACTTTAGGTTTCTTAAAAACATTAAATAAAATGTGTATGGGAAACTCCACTCTACACTAAAGCCTTACATAACACGTCATAGTGTGTCACAAGTAAAGTAGGCACAACCACGAGGTCCATGGAGCTCAAAGCATTTACAGTTAGGTCCATAATTTGTTTTAATCTGTTCATCTATACAGCGTCAAAGTGAATTTACAGTCAACTTTTAATACTAGTACAAATACTAGAAGAGGAAAGTACCATTGGGAACGATCCAGCGTTCTCACGTAGGCAAACGTGTAGTAAATGGGCAGAATCCATGAGAAGCTTAAAGGGGTGGAAGGAAAATGCAGAACCGACTATTTAGACTGACAGTGCCAGGACAGGAGGGAAAAAGACAAAGACAGGAAGTTAAACTAATAGGCATACACGAGCAAAGTGATAGGCAAAAAACAAAAACATGAGCCGAAACTATATCACAAACTCCAAACCAAGGCATTTACAGATTCAATAAAGGACTAGATGTTATAATCTCTGATAATGCATTGCTGCAAATTAAGAAAGTCTTGAGGGATGGCTACTATGAAGAAAGGCAGCCTGAAAGCTTTACCAGCGGGACACATCATCAGTTGTGGCTTAACTTCACAGGGTGTTTCGGGCCTTTTATCACAAATTATACCAATTTTATTTTCTGCTTCTTTTAACTTCCTTGGTTAGGTTTAGGGATTAGAAATCTGATCTAGAGTATAATTTTTAAAGACAGATCATCAGTAGTGGACCTTGGATTCATTGGGTGTTTTGGCCATTATCACTAGACAGTGATATTTTAGCACAAAAGCTGCCATTAAGCCAAAGTAGCTTTCACGTGGATTGATGTGTTTTCATGGTTTATTACTGTAATTCTGTATATGTGCTCTTTCAGGACAGGTAACAACAATGATGATGATGAGGAAGAGGCTCGGGAGCGAAGGAGACGCGCAAGGGAGGAGAGAAAGAAGATGAAAGACTCAGAGGAATCTGGTCTGACTGAGGTGATCGACACTAACAGGTAAGATATGTAGACATCATCTAGAATGAGGTTAAATAAGTAACTTCCCATTACGGGTTTTCTTAATGAAAAAAAACTTTTTTTTGACATATGAAAAATAAATTTGCACACAAGTTGAATTGTTGTGTATAAAAGCAGCACATTTTATTACCTTGGCCTATTGCACTGTGTCACAAATAACAAAATAGTGTTTTTTCATTTAATTTTATTCAAATGCTTTTTTGTTCCTGCGTAAGCGTCACTGAGAGAGAGAAAAAGAAAAACACAGCAGCTCTACAGCCTATCTAAGTGTTTGGTATTGATAAAGCCCTCCAGCCTTAATATTTGGAAAGCTCCAGCGGTTGTGAGGTTCTTGGATTGATGTTTTCGCTGGTTAGCCACAGGAGAAAATTCCACTCAGAAAGACTTGTGGGTTCATCACACTTGATCAGACCAAAACATTTGATAGCAGCCAAGATTTTGAGGTTCGACTTTGAGTGAATTTAATCTTTGGTGTTTTGTTTTTGTTCTTTAATTTTTCAGCGTGACAGAGACGGAGTCCTCCACGGCTGTAAACGAAGGGGCAGATGATGACCAAGCTTTGCTGGAGCGCCTCGCCAGAAGGGAGGAACGCAGGCAAAAGAGGATGAAGGAGGCCATGGAGAGACAGAAGGAGCTTGATCCCACAATTGGCACCACCAATGGCACAGACGTCACATTGGAAGAGCAGACTTCCATCAGCATCAGCAGGCATGAAAATACAGAGGAGGAGGAGGAGAAGAAGAAGGAGGAGGAATCTGCCCAGGAGGAGGTGACAAGTACTGATACTAACTCTTGGATGAAAGAAGAAGAAGACACAAAGGAGGACGAGAAGGTAAGATGTGTTTCAGCCTTTTTGTTTGTTTTATAAATTATAATGTTTTTATATTGTGATTTTTTATTGATTAATTGATTTTTGGTGTGATTGTCAGGAATCTGTTGAAGAATCAAGAACACAAACAACCGGAAATGATGTAGAGTTTTATGTCTTTTTACCTCTTTTAAACTCGTTAATTCAACTCTATAAAACTGACGGGAAGTAAATTTAATTTGTTTTTGTAGGAAGAGACTGAGGAGAAGGCTGCAGCAACAGAGGTGGACACTGAGGAGCCAGGTTTAGAAAAGAAAGATGCTGAAGATGAGCCTGCACCTGGTGTTGACAATGAAGAAGAAGAAGAAAAGAAGAGGCAAGAAGAAGAAGAAAGGCATCAAAAAGAAATGGAAGAAAAGCAGAGGATAGAGGAGGAAGAGAGACAAAAAAGGGAAATGGAGGAAAAACTCAAGAAGGAGGAGGAAGAAAGGAGAAAGAAGGAAGAAGAGGAAAAACAACAGAAGGAAACTGAGGAGAGGCTTAAACAAGAGGAAGAGGAAAAACAAAAACAAGAGATGGAGGAACAAATGAAAAAAGAAGAGGAGGAAAGACAGAAAAGAGAGCTGGAAGAGAGACTGAGAAAAGAGGAAGAGGAAAGGCAAAAAAAGGAGCTGGAGGAAAAGAAGAAGAAAGAGGAAGAGGAAAAACTGAAAAGGGAAATGGAAGAAAAGAAAAAGAAAGCAGAAGAGGAAAAACGAAAGAAGGAAATGGAAGAGAAGAAGAAAAAGGAGGAAGAGGAGAAACAAAGGAAGAAAGAAGAGGAGGAGAGACGAAAAAGGGAAGTGGAAGAGAAGAAGAAAGTAGAGGAGGAAAAAAGGAAAAAGGAGGCTGAAGAGAAGAAGAAAAAAGAGGAAGAGGATAAGCGCAAAAAGAGAGAGATGGAAGAGAAGAAGAAGAAAGAGGAGGTATTCATGGGATTTGTGGGACTTTTGTGTTAATGTAACTATTTGCAAAGTAAAAAAACACTCTTTATTTATGTGGGTTTGTTCTTGCTTTGCTGTGTGATGTGGTTTTGTTGTTTGGTCACAGATCACAGTGCAGTCGCAGTGTTTTGCTGGAGGTGGTGATATCAAGGATGCTGCAGTGTCATAGCTCTTTAGCTTACATCTGCTTTGCATTCACTACCAGTACTCTACTATTGTTTGATGGCCTTTGTCTTGTGTGTGTGTGTGTGTGTGTGTGTGTGTGTGTGTGTGTGTGTGTGTGTGTGTGTGTGTAACACTGGATGTTTGCTGATCTTTTCTTTCTCTCTTATTTTCACATCTTCGTGTGAAGGAGGAGAAGCCGAAGAGATTTGGGTTTAAGGAGAAGGTAAAACAATACTAGCTGTCAATATTCAATATGTGTTTATTTTTCTTTTATGGAAGAAAAACTTTTCTTTTCCCGTCTTTTTTGAAAGATTGAGCCAACCAAACAGAATGGAGCTGTCATTGAAAGTAAATTAAAGAAAACAGAAAAGACATCAAGGTAAATCTTGGCAAACTGCCTCCACAATGTAATGGGACTACTGCTTATAGACTAATCTGTATGTTTTAACATGTGAATTAAATAAACTGTGCCTGATTGCGAGCAGGGACAATCCGCCCTCCACTAAAGCAGAAGACCTGGAGCGACAGGAGGCTGAGCGAAAACTGCAAGAGCTGAAGCGCCGACGAAACAATGCGGAAAGTGAGGAGTTTGAGAAGATGAAGCAGAAGCAGCAGGGTGCCGAGGCAGAGCTGGAGGAGCTGAAGAGGAAGAGAGAGGAGAGGAAGAAGATCCTGGAGGAAGAGGAGAGGCAAAGGAAACAGGCGCTAGAGGAAAAGAAAGCCAAAGAGCAGGTGAGGATGTGTTATTTGACATTCAGGGGTTAAATATACCAATTTAAGAGGGTGCATGGGTTTGGATATGTGCTATTTATCATATAGAAATGTGACAGCAAAATGGGGCTTTTGTAACAGGAGGAGAGAAAGAGGATGAAGGAGGAAATAGAGAAAAGGAGGGTGGAGGCTGCAGAGAAGAAGAAACAGATGGAGGAGGGGTCTACAAAGCCCACCTTTACTATCAGTCCCAAAGGCTCCTCTAAGGTGAGTGTCTGAGAATTGGTTCGTACGGCTTAGAGTTGTGACACAAGGTTCACTGAGTTGAGTTTACACACACAGTCTCGGTTGTATTTGCCCAGATCCTGCAAAGCCAGCTAAACATATGGCCACTTATCCACAGTAGAAACAAAAAGTGTCTGTGTATCTTTTTAGAGTAATTCAAATAAATGCTTTATTATACTTTGAGCACTATAATAATAACAAACTTTGAAATCATAGTCAGATATCTGAAAACCCAGCTGAATAGAAAAAATGCTTTTATTATAAGTTATGTGAGTAAACTCTTTAAAATAGTGACACTGTAACAGTACAGGCTGTAAAATATAGCTGTCTTGTATAAATAATGTATCTGGTTTTTATAAACTTTTATGTAATTGAAAGAAATTCCTTGAGTTTTTTTGTCACCATGAGGTTGGAAGGCAACCAGAGACTCAAGGACATGTACTTAGCAAATAACATACTGTTTCATTTTCAAATCTAGGTTTTGTACAGTCACATACTGTGAGATGATTTGGAGTGCTGCCTTGTTCATTTTGTTACTTGATGACAGAGCCAGCCTAGCTGTTTCCCCCTGTTTCCATGCTTTGTGCGAAGTGGAGCACAGATATTGTTGTTCTCCCTTTATGGTCAAACATTTTTTCCTGGCTACTGTTTTTGTTCATTTGGCATTCCCTTATCAAGTTCTGGTTTTAATTCCGCTGATATAAGCTGTATGCTATTGATTTAAAAAAAAAATAATGACACCTTGTGGTGCAACGCTACCATAGCTTTTTTTGTAGAGTGTGTCTTTTGTCGTGTCCCCCCACCTCACAGCACTGACCTGTCATGGTCATGGCAGATTGCTGCCCCTCCCTGAGCCTGGATTCCTTCCTGTTTAAAGGAAGTTTTTCCTTCCCACTGTCGCCAAGTGCTTGTTCACGTTTCAGTGTTGGGGTTTTCTCTGTATGATTGTAGGTTTTTACCTTACAATATGAAGCACTTTGAGGTGACTGTTCTTCTGATTTGGCACTATATAAATAGAATTGAATTGAATTGCAGAATGTGATTTGTGGCTTTGAAATGCTACTTGGTGTAAAAATCCACATTGTTTTGTGCAGATTGGGGAGAAGGCAGAATTCCTCAGTAAATCAGCCCAGAAAAGGTAAGCCGCAAAAAGGTTTTTTTTTCCAGTACAAGCGAAAAAGATAAATAAGTGGTTGGTGGCTTTCACTAATGCCCAGTGCCTGGTTCATCTGTGCAGCACCACAGCCAGAGTGTCACACACTCCTATTGTCTCCAAGATTGGCAACAGAATGGAACAATACACTTCTGCCATCCAGGTGAGAGCTGATCTGTATGTTAAATATTAATCACCACCCTTAATAAAGGTAGCAGTAATAGTCATGTTTTATTTGATCATATATTCTTGAAAGTTGCAACCAATGCAACAATCTTAAAATGGTCCATTTGAAGTCAGAGTTAGATGCATCAGCTACACGAGAAACACATTTTTCTGGTGTAAATGGTTTAAATGGAGCAAGTCTCACATTATATGTATGGTTAAGTGTCATCGACTCATCTCTGTTAATGGGTCAAACCAGGCTGAGAGGTGAAGTGTAGTGTTAGTTCAAAGTCAAGCTCAACCCACGGTTCATAATGACTCACATTCAGCACATCCAGTAGACCTATTTCATATGAAATAGAAGGTAAACACAGGTATTATTAATCACACCAATTAATACTCTCCACCCAATACAATAGAATCTACACATATTGAATTAGCGATGCCTGTTTATTTACTATTTCAAATTAAAATGATTACCTGGAAATAGTTCTATTGGCAAATCTCATTGCGGCCACTATTTAAGCTGCTTATCCTGCTTACTTGTGCTTTACAACCCACCTTCAGCCCAGCTCATCCTTCTCAAGTGTCTGACTTGATTAGCGTTTGTCTGTTGTAATTTTTTCCTCCTTTGCTCCATACCCTTTGGGAGATCTTTGCTGGTGGTCTCCCTGTCCCAGGCCTTTCTTACCCACACTTCCATGTATGCACATAGATGGGTGGGTAGGTCCCAGAACAGAGCAATACTTCCAAATATAGGTTGTAGATGGAAAGAATAATTTTTTTAAACTAATGTGAGTCTGACTAAAATGGTAATGGGAAAAAAAAGCTGGACAGTAAATATTTGTTAAGACTGAGGAGCCATCAAGATTTAAATTTAGATAAGATTTAAAATCTTATCAAAGTAAATGTAGCAGATAAAATGTTCAATGTTAGCCTGTGAATTCGAAATATACACACATGAAGGGTGTATATTTCAAATTAAATATGTGTAGATTAAATTTTTTTTAAAAAGCTGTATTTTCTTCACTTGTTACTAAATGATTAAAAGTTACAGTTAGTTATATTTGTATTGCAACATAGACCTAATGTCAAAGCTCTGAAAAGTGCCAATCATTATTTTGAGGCTTTTTATCTCAGTAAATAGTAGAATAAAATTGATAAATTGAAATGAAGCACAGTTATCTTAAAATTGTGCTTAAGTACATGAATGTTCTTGGGTAAATTTAAATCTATGTTGTTATTTGCGTCCCTGAGCTCTAGTCGGCGTGCTCCTGTGTTTGCCCATGTAAATGTAACTAAATACATCTTTGGGTGCCTAGAAAAGCGCTATATAAATGCAGTCCATTATTATTATTATTATCTTTTTACAGGGAAACAAAGATGTAAAATCTCCCAAGTCTCCAGTGGCAGATATTCCTACGGGGGGAACACGTAGCATCAAAAGTATGTGGGAGAAAGGCAACGTGGGCAGCACCTCTGAAAGTTCCTCTCCTGCAAACAAGGTAACGGAGAATGAGACAGAAAGAGGCTTAGTGTGGTTTAGTGTGTGATTGCATATTTAAAGTGTTTCTTCACCAGGATGTGGCCGGTATCAAAGGAAGTGTGACCGGACGTGTCAACAGTTGGACGGGAAAGCCGGCAGAAGGCGAGAAGACAGTAGCGCCAGCACCTGCAGCAGCAGCACCGGCACCAGCGCCATCAGCAGCTGCAAAGCCAGCACCAGCAGCGGTAGCAAAGCCCGCAGTAAGACCTGATAAATCCTTGCCGTGATCACACATCCACACACTATTGTAAATCAGACGCCAGTCTTCAGCAGAGTAATCCCTTGATATTCTGCACATGCTGATGTGCTCATTTGCACATCAACATGCCTGTCCTTTGTTGGCTGCAGCCTTTGGGTCTGCACTCCAGGGCTGGACGGTGCTGCTGTCTTAAGTCTAGCAACACCACATGGAGAGTTTACTGAACAGCATATGCTTTCATGGCTTTCTTTGAGTTCTTGTACACATGATGGGAAAAGCTTCAATTAATTTATTTGAACAGAAGCCCATGGGAAATCTTTGTACAGAAGCACAAAAATGTATTTATCTATTGCAGACAACAGAAGAGCCATGAAACACCTGGCACTAGTTGATTGTCAGGTGGTTTAATGCCTGAGTGCTTTCTTTCTGCATTCCTTTTAACATCATTTATTTTGTATTTAAATCCTTTATTCCAGAAAACTGCAGTATTTTCAAACAGAAATCTCAGTTTTTTTCTGTTTGCATTTAACTCTCCCTGAAATGCATGTTTTAGTCCTACTGATGAGTCCATACTTTGAGTGTCCTTTGGAAAAGGAGGAAAGGGTCATATCTATTCATAGCTATCACATATTATGACATGTCACAACAAGTAGATGGAAACTTAATGATTTAATTTGTTCTCTTTGTGGTCATATAGCATAAATAAATGTGTACTAGGGTAGTCAGTGAGCACTGTGTCCTCTTCTTAAAGTCAGACACCAGCTGCTAGTAAAAACTGTCTGGAGACACATTCATGGGGAGTAAGGTTGGTAGATGACGTGTGACATTGTTCTTAAGCAAAATTTCTGAGCGAGATAACTTTGGTATCAAATATCTTGGCCAGAGAAGAGCTGTAACCTTGCTGTTACTCTTGCAGTAACACTTCCCCCTGATGGGTTGAAGCTGTACCACAGTCTGGTGCATGTGTGGATCTTTGCATCAAATCTTTACTGTGTCTTTACTGTGCTAGTGATATTTTTCAGCCTTTCTGTCCTCTTTAATTGTGCTCTTTCCTTCAGCTATCCTCACTCAAGCTTTTCCTGCTGCTTTTTGTCTGCTCTTCAAACTGGTAAAGGTTTTTCATATACTTCACCAATATCACCAGAAGCCTAATAAATATATTTGGGAACTGTATTTGCATTCATTGAAGGGAAATCATTTGGTACATTTACTCCCTGGACATTGATGACTCCATACTTCATGTGATGTTAGTTTTTAGTCCTCCTTTGCTTAAACATGTCACTTAAACCCTTTACTAAAAAATCCCTGTCTTCTCAGGATGAAAGCAGTTCTATAAAGCCCTTCAAATCTGTTTGAGGACCGATAAGGAAAGCTCTCCAATGTTTTACAGACAGTCAAAGTTATTGCTACTTTTTCTCATTCCTCACCATAAAAATGGTCACACTTTCAATTATCTGATTTAATTTAAAGAAGGTTGAGGAGAACATTTGAGACAATTTCCTCATAGCACCTCTGTGCTTTCTGCTGAGAAATATCTTGGATAAAAGCTTCTTCTTTTCTTTAGTTTTTGCTTAAGTAGCTGGTCTAAATATTTCTTCTGATACTTCCCAGGGCTAACAATCTTTTTGTGCATTTTGTTTGTAACAGGATGTGAAACCAGCTGATGTGGGCAACAAGCGTGGCATGTGGGAAGCAAAGAAGGGCTCTACGCCTGGAAAGGTAAAGACACAGACACTGTTCTTTGAAGGGACAATGTTAGTGTTTTAAAGGATTTACAATGATGTGGTAATAGTTGTTATTCTTTATTTAGTCTTTCTAATACATGAGTGAAAGTGGTCATTTGTGAAAATGTGACTCCAGGCTGATGTTACTGATTTGAAATTTTAAGTAAAAACATAAGATACACGTCTGCTCCAGTAATTCACTCGTTCCACATTTTGCCATGTTATAGTCTTTTTTTGTGTTTCACCTCAAAATTCTACACACAATACACCATAATGACGAAGTGAAAAAAGGTTGCTTGAAATTCTTGCAAATTTATTAAAAATTACAATAAATAAATAAATAAAAATACTCCAAATTGAGCTCAGATGCATCCTGAGCATCTGTCACATCTTTCTACAACTTAACTAGAGTTCACCTGTGGTAAATTCAGTTGATTGAATGACATGATTTGGAAAGGCACACACTTGTCTATATAAGGTCCCATACTGGACAGTGCACAAACCAAGCCATGAAGTCTAAGGCATTGAGGCACAGATCTGGGGAAAAGTACAGAAAAATGTCTGTAGTACTGAAGCTCCAAGGGAGCACAGTGGCCTCCATCACCTGTAAATGGAAGAACTTTGGACTCTTACTAGAGTTGGCTGCCCAGCCAATCTGAGCAATTAGGGTAGAATGGCCTGAGTCAGCAACGGGACCAAGAACTCAATGGTGATTCTGACAAAGACAGGAGAACCTTCCAGAAGGACAACTATTTCTACAGCACTCCAGCAATCAGGCCTGTATGAGTGGCAAGATGGAAGCCAATCCTCAGCAAAAGGAATATGACCGCCCACCTGGAGTTTGCCAAAGCTTACCTGAAGGACTCTCAGACCGTGTCAAACAAAATTCTCTCTTCTGATGAAACAAAGATCGAACTCTTTGGCCTGAATGCCAAGAGTCATGACTGGAGGAAACCAGACAGTGCTCTTGGCCTGGCCAATGCCATTCCTATAGTGAAGCATGGTGGTGGCAGCATCATCCCTTTGGATGTTTTTCAGCAGCAGGAACTGGGAGAGTAGTCTCCACAAAAGCACTCTGGCGAAGGTTCATTTTCCAACAGGACAACGATCCAAGCTTCTAACATCAAATTGAAAAAGACTTGAGGCTGTAACTGCTGCCAAAGGTGCTTCAATAAAGTGTTGAGCAAAGGCTGTAAATCCTTATGTACATGTTATTTTTTTTATTTTATTTTTTTTAATACATTTCAAAGAATTTCAAGCATTTTTTTCACCTTATCATTATGGAGCACTGTATGAAGAACTTTGAGGTGAAAAATGAATTTGATCCATCTGGAACAAAATATGGAAAAAAAGAAGCACTGTGAATACTTAGATGATAATTTGCCTGAATACCAGTGGATGATTTGTCCTCCCTCATTTATTTTGTTTCCTTTATTCCTCCTTCCTTCAGGTGGCTGTGGGAGGCAAGTTTTCTCGTTAACGGTAAGCTTCTGAAGTGACTGTAGGCAGTGGTCAAATGTAACTAAGTACCCTTACTCAATGCTGAACATTGATCATTGCGCAAGTAAAAATAAATAGCCTAACATACAGTAACACTCGTGCATAACTCGTACAACTATAATATACCACTAAAAGAGTAGAATAGTTGTTCCTTGTTTAATGTCAGAGAAAAAGTTTAACAAATACTAAAAAGCTAGACTCTCTAATGGTAGAGTTAATATGAAGCGACACCTAGCTACTCGTTAGCTTAGCTTACAGAGATGGGAAATGAGGGCAAACAACCAATCATTTAAAAAACAATAAATAAATCTGCGTGTGATTTCAAGTGGGTTATATTGTAGACCAATGACCAGAACCCCTTTGGTAACCAAACCAACTTCTAGCTGTAGCTTTCTTCCTTCACAGACATAGTTGTAGTTTTGTATTTACAAACTCAAGTGTGGTATTGGTCACCACTTCCTTTATCAGAAATAGACAGCCTAGAATAAAGTAAAGGGCAAATGACAACACACATTTCCTAAAATATCAAATTAGTCCTTTCGCTGGAGATATTTTTAGTGTCTCTACATTGGGGTTAGCTCTACTTTCACTCAGGTAACATGAATACTTCTTTTAACACTGTAAAGCTGAACATCGTACATGTTAAACCAGGGCTTTATGTTGGTCAGTCCTGGGGGAAGCAAACTTGAGATGAAGTGTGTCTGCCCTTCAAAACATTTTCTGGACAAGTAGGATAAGCCTTGACTGATTTATAGCCCAGCAAGAGCTCGTAACTACTACAACCCACCAACTTCTCTTTCTACCAGCGTAGCTGCTCACTGTAAATCAAATCTGCTGCTGGAGATTTTTGGGCACGGGCTCAGCTCTGTGGCACTGCGATCTATATTTAAAAAAACCCTCACCCTGACCTTGTTTCCCAGTATAAAGAAAGTTCCAGACTCCTGGGATGACTGTCATGTTTTTGCTGTGGGCTGTTCCCCAAGTCCCACCTGGACTTGGGGAACCGTGCGGAGTGTCAGAGAGCTGTCAGACATACCAGAGTGCAGCTGCTTGATTGTCACATTACAACTGACTGCTGAAAAGGATTACTAGCAATTTAAGAAGCAAATCGGGCTCGATCACCAGGCTTATTCACTCTGCGCTAATGATAAAAACCTAAGATGAGCTACCACAGCTACTTGGGACAAGTTAAAACATTTGACTTTACAACATAAATCATGAAAAAGATATTGACTTTGGCATAATAAAGCTGCCTTGCTTCTTCGTGTTCAAATATCATGTTTCTTCTGACATGAAGGCATCAGTGCTTGGGCCAAAGTGTGAACAATAGGAGTGGAAAAGTGTTTGTCGAGTGTCAACTTCAACTCTAAATAGCACTCCTTGCTTGTAGCCTTCCAACTTCTTCATCAGAAATAGACAGCTGAGCAATGAAGTAAAGGGCAAAGTTACAGCTTTCAGTCACAAAGCAAAGTGTCCTAACTCTGAACAACAACAACAGAGGCACTGAACATGCATTATATTGTATTTATAGAGAGCAATGGTCATGAAAGCATTGATTAATGATGCTGAGGCTAGTGGCTGATGATCTTTATGTTTTAAAGTTGACACACTTGAAGGAAAATATGCACTGATCAGTTTTAAGCTGCTTTCCCCTCTTGTATCTGTGGAAGCGTTGTCTGTTAAATTGTCTTTTAAAATGTTTTATGCCCATATCAAAAATGGCCAAGTATGTCCTCCTTCATTTCTTAGTTTTTTGCATATTTGGTACACTTTCATGTTTCAGATATTCAATTAAATTTTAACAATAAGCATAAATACAAAATGCAGCTTTTAAATGAAGATTTTATTTATTAAGGGAAAAGGTTAACCAAACCTACCTGGACCTGTGTGAAACAGTAAGTGCTCCCTAAAACTAATGATTGGTTGTGTGACCACTGGCAGCAGGAACTGCAATTAAGTGTTTGTGATACCTGGCAATGAGTCTTTCACATTGCTGTGGAGCAGTTTTGGTTCACTTCTCTTTGCAGAATTGTTTTAGTTCAGCCACACTGGATGGAAACAGCCTGCTTAAGATAATGCCAAAGCATCTCAATTTGATTTAAGTCCAGACTACTCAAAACCTTCATTTTGTTTGTTTTTTTTATTTTGGGGGGCAATTCAGAGGTGGACTTGGTGGTGTGTTTCTTATCATTGTCTTATTGCATAACTTAAGTGAGCTTGAGCTTCAGGCCATGAACTTATGGCCTGACATTCTCCTTCAGGATTTCTGCTAGACAGCAGAATTTATGGTTCGTTAAGGTCCTGAAGTATGATCCGCTGGTATGATCTGTTCATGAAATGCTGTGTTAGTTTTGTGCCAGATGTAATAGGACTCAAACCTTCCAAAAAGTTCAACTTTTGTCTATTCAGTCCACAGAATATTTTCCCAAATGTCATCAAGATGTTTTTTGGCAAATGTGAGGCGAGCTTTTGTGTTCTTTTTGGTCAGCAGTGGTTTTCTCCTTGGAACTCTGTATTGTTGAATCATGACCTTAATCTAACGAGTAAAGTCTTCTGTTCTTTAGATAGTGTTGTGGGTTCTTTTGTGACCTCCTGGATGACTTGTAGATGTACTGTCAGAGTAATTTTCGTAGGCCGGTCTCTCCTGGGAAGGTTTATCACTGCTCCAAGGTTTCTCCATTTGTGGATAAAGGCCTTCGTCATGGTTCACTGGAGTCCCAAAGCCTTAGAAATGGCTTTGTAACCATTTCAAGACTGATAGATGTCAGTGACTTTGTTTCTCATCGTTTTTAAGTTTCTTTCTTTCTTTAAGATCTTTTAGGCTTCTTCATTTTGTGGAAGGTTGTTGACAGGTTCTGTTTGATTGATTTAACAGATCTGCCAAGAATCGGGCCTAAGTGTGGCAAGCTAAAGTGAACACAGCTTTCCAAAAAAAGTGTAAAAAAATTGTTTGATTGAGTATCTGAAAGATGTAAATGTGACAATATGCAAAAAAGAAAATTAAAGAAAAAAGAAGAAATCTGAAGGGGGCAAATACTTTTTCACAGCATTGTGGAAATTGCTTCAGGTTGCTCTATAAAACACACCACTAAGGCAGAGTATACAAAAATAACGATTATGACCATGACTCATGCAAAGTTACTTCAGTAGAATGTAAGCAGCAGGAAGCGTGGTGTTGGAAACAAGAAAAGCATTTTTTAGTTTTGTAATCTCAAGGATTTTACTAAAGTTTTTTTTTTAAGTTTGTTTTAATACCATTTAGAGGCTGATATATATAAAATAGTTTATACCTTAAAAACATAAGGTATACCTTATACCTTTCTCTATTTTAAAATATTTTTTTTATTCATTAAGGGATAAAAGTAGATTTCCAACATTAAAGAAGATTTTTGTACCAACAAAATAAAATTTACATCATTTGGAATTTATTCATTGTTCAGATTTATATATTGGTTATTGGTTATTATGCACATTGTTGTCTATTTCGATAAAATTTCAGAAACTTGCAGAAGAAAAAGTAAATTTTTTAATGTAAATAATATTGTGGGATTTTATCAAGGTGATATCTGTTCTGTATATATTCACATATTCACCTGTGGTGTCTCACCTTACTCTAACAGTGACTTTATCAGCAATGGACACATCGAGAAACTGATCTTTAATGGCTTTCTGTTTCTTTTATAGCAGGAGTGAGACCCTAACCACTGACATCCCAGTTACACCTTTTCGAACTCACACTTCTGCTGCTCTACGTTCACACCTGTTCCCCTTCAGCACGCCCGTATTTTGCATGAGGTTCACATCACAATGAGGGAAAAGGGAATGACATAATGGGATTCCTGTGTCAAAGTCTTCCAGCTCTAGCTTTACAGTATCAGTACTTTTGCACTGCCACCTATTTTGACTTAGCCATGCTTCAAGAGTTTCATCAAAAATGAAAAGATGATGGCTTGACTTGATATGTGACTATAAGAAAATTAAAAGAATATTACACTTTCTAACTGTTTTTACATGGTTAATACTCAGTAGTAAACTAAAACTGTCGATTAGCTGTTGCTGTCACTATTTTTCATTCAAGCATTCTGCAAGTCGGTTATTTTGCTTTCAGCTCTCATTAGCAGGTCTATAATTCATATGGTGCATTTGGGCTTTGACATTATGTCATATAGCTTATACCCAGTAATTAGTATTCTTGCTTTATAGTGATACATGCACACTGCTTTTTGTGATGAAAGTCATGGTTTTGATTCCATAGATAGTATACTGTACTCCACAGCTGGATATTGGATGAAAAGCTTGTATATAATTTACTTGTTTTGTAGGTTTTAGTTTCTACTAAGGCATCCATCATAAAGGGTTTCTGACGTATTTAATAAGGCCTTTGCATGTACTTAATATAGATCAGTTAGACGTAATTAACGAGTCTGTGGTTGTGAAGCAATAAAGAAATCTCTTTGGCTAATGTTTACAATTTTGATAAAAGTTTTTAATATTTTTTTTAACAATAATAAGTTGTGCACAAACACTCATAAATAAACCATTAAATGAATGACTTTGATGTTCGCAAAGGATGGCAAAACTATCCGAGTGATTCAGCTCTTCAAGAGAGAAATATATCAACATCTATGTAGGGGTGGGGAACGCCAGGCCTCAAGGGCCAGTGTCCTACAGGTTTTAGAGCTCACCCTGGGTCAACACACCTGAATCAAACGATTAGTTCATTAACAGGCCTCTGGAGAACTTCAAGACATGGAATTTAGCCACTTAAATCAGCTGTGTTGAATCAAGGACACATCTAAAACCTTCAGGATACCGGCCCTTGAGGCCTGGATTCCCCAACCCCTGGTCTACTGGGGTTAATCTATTAGGCTTTCATGTTCTGTTAGTCATTTTTAAATACCTTGTCATGCAAACTTACTCACTAAAAATGGAAGACGTGATAAATATTTTTACCTGCTGAACATTGTAATTTATATTCCTATTGTGAGCATGGCATCAGTGTGACTCTTCGGATGTAGTATGAAGAGCACACAGAGCAAACATAGACTATCTGAAAACTCACCTCGTAATTAACTTCAAAAGGCAACTGGCTCATAGTTCATTCACTCGTCATTTAGTCAAATTTACAACTCCAAAATGGATGATGCACAATAATTGTTAGAAAGCCGATAAGCCTCGATAAAGGCGCTCTTATTAAAATTCTAATTAAAAAACACACAAGGATCCACACCTTAAATCATAAGTTAATATCATTGGCACATCCTGCCTAGGACTGCTACAGCAGCGTGAAACATTTTCACGAATAACATCCAGCTTTGTTACTTTTATGGCTTTTTTTTTTTTGCAAAAGAAAGTCCATGAATACTTGAGTATGCAAGTATCTACTGTAACAACAGTTCAGTGAACAAATCTTATTGTATTCAACAAACAGGTTATAGTCTGGCTGCTTTGCTTATCTATTGTGCATTTACATGCCACCTACTTCAGCTTTTTATGCGTTGCAGAAACATTAGAGACCTGCAAGACAATCGCAACATGCACTCTGTTTAAAAAAAAGCCTCTAATTAACAGTGAATGTAACCCGGTGTTCCTGTCAGCAGTGCACGTACGTTCAATCCTGCCTAAATGTATTGTGACACTTTCTGCATTTTTTTTTTATTGATTGCCTTGTTTGAGTTGTTTACAAATATTGTATGTATGGCTTCAGCAATAAAATAATGGAGGAAAAAAAAAGTTCTGGTTCTGTTTTAATTTTAACCAATGAAAGGAAATGCTGTCATTTGTAACCATTTGTGAAATTATGGTGTGTTGAAAACACAGTGGAGGGTGACAAGGCAGGAATCTACCTGCAAAACATTTAGCACGTATGTGTGTGTGTGTGTGTGTGTTGTGTGTGTTAGTATTTAGTTCCTTGTGTGTCTGTAATGTCCAGCTCTCTAACAATAGACTGATCAGCCATAGGGTGTCGCAGTCACATGAGTCAGAAGGGCTGGACTATGTATCCTTGATGCTTAACCTGTTTGTTAAGTTCAAGGAGCTGGAGTCTGTCGCTCGCCTCTGAGCTCCTCTGTCTGGGTCACAGGTAAGGGCACGCATGCTCTGTGTGGGGAAATGTTATCAAATAAATTAAAGCCTTGTTTAACCTTAAATATTGAACTGAATTAATCGATCAGTTAGTTTATCACTGAATGAAATCTGGTCTTGGATTGTGTTCGCAGCATGCTGAAATCTTTTTAAGCCACATTACAAATCAGACAAAACTGTCTCCATGGCATCTTTATAACATCTTCTGTGACTGTACAGCAGCTTGTACATGTACTCACACAGACACTCTTGATAAATTCATCATTTTTACTTATTTTTACATTTTGTTATAATAAAAACTTGTTATTGGCAGAATAAAAAGCAGACGTAGAAAATAACACATTCTATACATGAGTAGAATTTCAATGTTTTACTTCAAACTTCAAACTTAACTGGAGATATTAACTTCACATTTGAAGCCGTTCTGCCTACAGCATCACCATCTGCAAACACTTTTTTATAGTTGTCATCAGTAATTTCAAACTTGTGACAGGACTTTGATCACATTTAGTTGAATAACTATGTGTACCTTTTAAATACACATACAGAAGTGTTTTATTTGGAAGTGTTTTCCAGTTATTGTGTTGCTGCTGTTGTCCAGTTAAAGATCAGAATAGACATCTTCAACTCTGGCCAGGCTACGATATTTGATCCAACACTGATCCTCATTGTAAACTGTGTGAACGGTTGCTATCTCAGGATCTACTATGCTGTTTAATGATCAGAAATAGTTGTTGGTGTAAATATAGGCTAATAGGGTGTCCATTTTGCAGAGCTCACCCTTAACAAAATGTCTGACACAGAAGAAGTCGGGGAGGAAGAAGTTCAGTATGTGATCAATTTTACATTTTTTTTTTATCTTCATGTTATTATGAGTGCAACATTTCTTTATTGTGTAATTAAGAGGACATTTTTAATTGTGTCAATGTTTCTGCTCTCTTCCAGGGAAGAAGATGGTAAGAAAATTGCATCTACCCATTATTTTATACACCTGATTTCATTTCCAGTTTACTAATCATGTGTGCTCCTGGTCATCAGCACTAGATGACTCAAAGCCCAAGCCTAAGTAAGTTTCTCAGCTTTCCTTACGTTGAGCAGTTTAAACCTCACTTAGGATGAATCATTCAACGATAAACTGTTCACACCTGCAGGTTTATGACAAACATTTCGGCCCCGAAGATCCCTGATGGTGAGAAGGTGGACTTTGATGTGAGTCAGCCTCATCAAACGTCTCTCCGTTTCAAACTGACCAGACACATTTCTCACAATGTTTGGTTTTTTTGACGCAGGATATCTACAGGAAACGTCAGGAGAAGGATCTAGCTGAGCTGCAGTCTCTGATCGAGGCTCACTTCGTCCAGAGGAAGAAAGAGGAAGAAGAACTCATTGCCCTCGTTAATAGAATTGTGAGTTGGTTGCAGAGCAGTCACAGTGTCTGTACCCAGCTGAAGTTCACCGTGACTGCGCGCACCTTTGTGTGTTTCTTGGCTGTTGTTTTTTTAGGAGAAGCGTCGTTCTGAGAGAGCCGAGCAGCAAAGGATCAGGGCGGAGAGAGAAAAGGAAAGACAGAACAGACTTGCGGTACGGACGTGGATTTACACCTTCAGTCTACAGTTTATTATTCCACCTGCAGCTAAAACAGTATTGAATGATTGGCTTGTGCTGCGTGCAGGAGGAGAAGGAGCGCAAGGAGCAGGAGGAACAAAGGAAGAGGATGGATGAGGACGCAAAGAAGAAGAAGGCCCTCTCAAACATGTCTCAGCAGTACGGTGCTGGACAGAAGGTCTCTCAGTTTCCTGTGAATGACAGAACTAGAATAGTATGAAGCAGACATCTGCTTGCTTGACTTAATGAGAATGGATCACCTAAGTGGATAGTCCACTGTGATGCTCCTACTGCAGTAGCTTTGCGTGATTTACAGTTAAAAGTACTGGACCCCTCAGTTTATCCACAAAGCTGGTTTTATCTACTCCACCTTTACGACTCTTCTCCCATTAAGCTCTCTCTTTTGATTGGCTGTCTCTGATAAACAGAAGCCTTGAAGGTGGAAAAAATGTCTGAAACTGAGCATTCCCAGCTCTCTGAAGACTTTAGGATTACTTGTACATATGCTGGAATGCAGTTTAAAATAAGTTAATAATAATAATACATAGAGAATGTTGAGGCGGACTCATGCTCATTCTTTATGCTATGTTACGCAGAGTGACACCAGAAGAGGCAAGAAAACAACTGAGAGAGAGAAGAAGAAGAAGATACTGGCTGAACGCAAGAAACCTCTTAACGTTGATCACCTGAGCGAGGATAAACTCAAGTATGACAACACTATGCAGGGCTTCTTCAGTATTCATAGTTCCTTATGTTTCTAAATATTGGCCACAGATAACTCGTGTTAATACTGCAACATATTTAATAGTAACAGGTAATTTGATACGTTTTTGGTATGAATTTCTTCTTTAGGGATAAAGCCAAAGAACTGTGGGAGTCACTCATGGGGCTGGAGGCTGAGAAGTTCGACCTCAGTGAGAAACTTAAAAGACAGAAATATGATGTAAGTCATGAACTATTAATCCATTCTGTGATATTACTGTCATTATTTAATAAGACCAAATAGAACATTGAGTGTATTTATGACCAACAGCACGAGAAACACCTGAAGGCAACCATCCTGCATTTATCATTTATTGATATTTGTTGGTGTGGTTTGCTAGTTTCACAATTCACGTTAGACCCCGTTGTGTAAGATTATCAGCCTTTTTATTTCGAAACACTGAGGAGATGTTTATGTGCCATTGCAGATCAACCTGCTTCTCTCTCGTGTTCAGGATCACCAGAGGTAAGCACACAGCTCCCCCGCTGGATCTCTTCCTATTTTGATGACCTTCTAAGGTTTCTTGTCTTACATAAAGCTTCTGTTGCTCCCTTTCACACTTTTCTAAGATACCACTTCACCACTCACAATCAGAAAATAGATCAGAGACCGCAGTTATGAGTGTATTATGTTCTAAAAAAACAGAGTGTCACTCAGCTCAGCGGATACTCGAGAAATCTATCATCTGTGACATTATTAGAAAAACACATCACGTACCCTGTTCTTATAGTTTGGATTTATTTTCTGTTAAACAAACAGCATGCAGCTTGACAGCATACCCCCATAAAGTCAAAAGAAGCCTTAAATGTTTGCGGTTAAAATTTCTGCACTTAAAATATTACCAACTTAATTATTTCCACATCATCTCATGACTCCCACAGTTTTTAACATCACCTGGGTAATGGTATGTCGAATTGCTGAATAATGAAACTATATGATATCCGTGTTTATTAAACTCATTGGTATCCCGAACCTTTTCAGTGCCAAAGGTCGTGGAAAAGGCAAGATGGGCCGGGTGAGATAAAGCTGCTACAAGATAGAGTCGAGGCAGACGGTGACACCAGCGATGGACCCTGGTGTCTATTGTCCATGTGTTCATTCTTCTATTGTGTAAGGTTATGTGTCAGTTGCTATGGTCATAAAAGTACAAAACAAGTGTTTCTGTGTAAATCTGTCCACTATAATAACTCTTACACAAAAATTCACACTGAACAGCAAACGTGTCTAATTTTGCATTGTTCTTGTGTCGCTTTAAAAATAAAGAAATA